GGGATGCTGGTGTCTTCGCTGCAGCTACTTGGCTCATCCCCTCTCTGTCCCAGGTCCTTCAGATGCCTGACATACTCGGCACTGGGGGTGGTGTGCTGCAGGTAGGCAAGCGGCTCAACAGGCACAAGACACTTTAGGAAGATAGTCTCGGACATGAGGACAGACCCCTCAAATGCCGCCCTGACACACCCATCCTTCCCAACGGCACTCTTGATAAGGCCCCTGAGACCACTTGCCGTACTCAGGCGCGCATTCACAAACCTGCTTGCCTCCTTGCTGGTTGAGAACATAGACTGCACAACCACGTTCTGCCCAAGGACTGCTCTGGGGTGTCCAATGAGCTTTAGCTTCTTTTTCACAGTGCTTCTACCGCTTATGTCGAGAATCTGTCCCGCACCCAGAATCTTGTAGTCTGCATCGTAGCTGTAAATAAAGAAAGACGAGCCCAGGGGTACCGACGGGCCATAGAACAGTATCTCGGAGAATTCTCTGCAGTACTTCGAGAACCTGCCATTCCTGCAGAACACTGGAACAGACTGGAACCTGCACCACCCAACTGAGAAGAAGTACGGTGCATTGGACTTTAGATCAAACGTCTGCCACTTGTTTTTACTGACCTTGCCCTTCAGAAGGATATTGGTGCCTTCTGTGGGAAGATATGTCCCAACGACTATGAGATTGGTCGGGTCCAAGCTAGTGTTGTGCAGGTTGAACCGGACATACGTCCCGGGAATGATTAGCTTCTGGCATTCTTCGACTTTCCTCTGGTTGGACAGCTCAGTACTCTTCATCTTCTCCAGGACATTGCCTGGGCTATTCTTATCGTCGCTGTATTCTTCGTTGAATCTTTCAGCAAGGCCCTCCTCGTCAGAAACTGCTGGCTTGAACCTGTGCCTGGTCCTTTTCTTCAGCATGCTCAAGTCACTGCCGTTGTCGTCTGAATGGCTGCTTTCACCTTCCATGTCCAGACTCGTTCGGCCGCTACTTTCCTCCAAAAATATACTGTCGACACCCGACTCCTCTCCCGCCTCGTTGTCGTTTGTCTCTTCTAGCACACTGTAAAACACATTGGATCTAGAGCCCAGAGGATCGCTGCAGACCTCGATATCGGTGATCTCAACGTCTCCATGTCCTGGGATGTGCGCACTTACTTCCTTGCCAATGGGCCCTCCCCGCACATAGCCAAAGGCTGTCTCGCCTCTCATCCTATCGACTACAACGTATGGATGGACACACCTCCACTCGACTGGCCGATACTTCATTGTCTCGATGTACCTCATGAAGTGTCGGATGTTCTCGTAGTGCTCGCGATTGTCCTCGGCTGTTCGTAGGCAGAAAAACTTGACCGGAAAGCTGAACTCCTTCTGGAGCCTTACTTCGACGTCCTTCACTGCCTTGCTGGAAATCTTCTGGTCATAGTTTGTTAGCACAAAACAGAACTTTGGCACTCCGTGGTTGTTCATCATGCCTATTGCCTCCAGCGTGTCCTTCTGAAGTCCAATCCTTAGATTCACCACAAAGACAATCATGTCGCTCACTTTGATCGCGTCTATAACCCTCTCGATGTCGCTTTGGCACTCGCAGAGCATGTGCTTCCTGTTCCTTATGCTCATGGTTACTGGTCCTGCGAACTCTCTTGGTGCTTTCCAGTAGTGTGCAACCATGGAGTTGAGAAGAGTGGTTTTCCCAGACATTTTTGGGCCAACGATAGAAACAAGCGGTGGCGAGCTGTCCTTGTACCCCATGTTTTTTATTGCAATCCTCGACTTTTCTGCATGTATGGTTTCTCTCTGGGCTTTTTTGTCAATTTTTGCCATTCGAACTGCTGGGCAAAAAAGTTGCAAAGCATATGCGATTTGCCTGTTTCGATTGGCTTCCTCTGCCCAACCTCGAGCATGCTGGTTAAAGAGTTGGCATCGAAGAAGCTGCGAATGAGCGGAAGAGCATGCGAGGAGTCTAGAGACACACACCTCAAGACATTTCCCAATGTGCTGGTGGTCCGGTCAGGAACCTCGCCCCAGGACTCCTGCATCTATCTTGCATTCTCCAAAGCGAAAGCCAGGCCGTATCCCGATAAGCCATCCGAGGGAGCTTTCCAAATAGGCCTGGAGAAAGGCAGAAAGAACGATGCACTGCTGAATTTTCTGCACAGCGTCTACGTGAGGTCCAAGTGCATTTCCACTACGGATCTTTGCCTAAGATTCAATCAGGAGGCATACTCCATCAGCATTGAGGTATCCCCCATACAGACGAATGGGGACCTGTTCAGACTGTGTGTTGAGGGAATAAATGAGATAATCCGGGTTTTGGAAGTAAAGACGTATTTTCTCCCAAAGGCTGTGCAGTTTGGATGTGTTGAGGGTGCTTTGATGCAAGATCCCGACGAGGCAGAGACCCTTGCGAGTGAGTGGACCATGACAGTTGTGATGAAGTCAGCCAGGGAGCTTCTATTGGTGGAAAAGAGCGGCGAGGGTGTCGGTGTCGGCGACATTTTGCGAGCCATCGACTGTGCAATGCTTGCCGCCAGCTCCAAAGTGTAGAAGATTAATTAAATATTATAGCAGCGAGTGTTTGTTGGTGGCACCACTTTGAGAACCCCGTGTATTATCCAAGATGCAAGACCGTCTTCTCGACTTGACAGACCTTCCAAGTTGCTAAGGTTTTTAGAAGTGCACGAAATGGCAAAACACAGGCGCGACCGGGGATCGAACCCGAGACCTTTTGCTTACAAGGCAAACGCTCTACCACTGAGCTATAGCGCCTGAGCTGCGAGCTTTCCATCTCCTTGCTGCATCCAAGCCCTCCCACTCTAGCCTGCGGGCCAGCAAAATACAATAAAACTATCGTCAATCAACCTTTATTTTGTGTTTCTCCATTATCTTCTTGAATCTTCCGTACAGCTCCCTCACCTTTTCCCTGTCTCGCCTTCTATTCGACTCTATCATCTCCGAGACCAGACGCATCACTAGGTCTCTCTCTGCATCATCGGTCTTCCTGGCCTGGCATGCTCTATTTATGCTCTCTATCCTCCCCTGCAGTCCCTGGAGGCTCCTCTGGATCGTGTTGAGGGACTCGTTCCACCTGTGCAGGACCAATCCCAAAAGCTCCTTGATCTTTCTATTTTCTTCAGCCAGCTCCTCGTTTCCAAACAGAACACTGGCGCCATGCTCCCGTGCCTCAAGCGGGCTGCTCTTCTTCTCCTGCTGACACGTTGCAGGCCCATCCTCAAGGCGGTAATCTTTGTCCTTGTAGAACGGGTGGCCAGGCTCTGCAAACACGTGGTACGTCGTGCTGTCCCCGAGACTCGTCATTCTCCTGGTGAGCCTTTCGTACTTCACAAACAGGCCATGGCCCTCAGGACAGTAGAAGTATCTTGTCCCTCCTATTGCTCCATTATTGCTGCCCTTGGGCTCCTCCAGCTCTATCCCCACCCACTCCTCGCTCCTGCCCTCGACGGGGCCTATGTAGCGCACTACCCCTCGCAGGTTGTTCTTCAGAATGATTCTGTCGTTTATTTGTATGGGCATGCTCCTTGACGGCCAGGGAAGAAAAACACTGAAAAGCAGCATCCTCAGACTGTGCCAGGCCTCGTGCCCGGATTTGAATCCAAAACCAACTTTAAGCCACGCTACTTCCAAGCTGTGCTAAGGCCAAGCCCGTCTTCGTGGCATGCTGAGATACACGGCGAAATGGAAAATAGTGGAAATAAATAGACTTTATTAACTAGTCATAGGCAGCCCTGGTCACCTCCTCGCTGATGCTCTCCCGAATCGGTGAGACAATCCTCTCAATAAGCCTGGATGCACACTGCTTTAGATCTGCAGGGTGTATCTTCCTTTCAACAAAATCGCTCTCCAGCTCCTCATACCTCAGATATGTCTTGTTGTTGATCACGACATCCTCGGGCAGCACCGGCAGAATTATGAACTTAAACAGGGTCAGCACTCCCGTGCTGGCATTTCCCTCCTCACAGAAGCACTTGCTTATCTTCTTCGATATCGCCTTTTCTGTGTCCAGCAGGTCTATTTTGCTCAGCTCGTCGGAGGAGCTCATCTTCTCGCACCCCAGTCCTGGCATCATGGGGTTCATAAGATGGACTCTTCGTCTGTATCCTAGCCTGGGAAGATACTTGTTCGCATGCATGAAGATCTTCCTCTGGTCCACGCCTCCAAACTGCGCATCCACCTGGAGATACTCCTCGTCCAGAGACTGCATGTTGGGGTATATGAGCGAACTGAGGAGGGGACTCTCGGTCTGCCTGACCACCTGTGTGCCTGCCTTGGTGGTGTCGTGGACTGTGGTGAAGCTGCTTATCTTGTACAGGTCAAAGGTGTATCGGCTTGACAGCTGAAAGTCGGATCCCTTGACAAACCTCAGCCTGTTTGTGTCCACACCCCAGCCTCTTTAGAATAGCCTTGATTATCTGCTCGTAGTACACCACCCTGGAGTTTATCTTCTCGATGGGCGCCTTCAGGTTGTCCAGAAAGGCGTGGATGTCTGCCAGGAGTATTGTCACCTCGCACCCCGCATTTAGGAAGTCTCTGATCTTCAAGAGCGGAACAAAGTAGGCAATGTGGGGCTTCCCGGTAGTGGCTGTTCCCCAGTATATCCTGGGATCCCTTTCGCACAGAATCTTCCTCAGCTCCTCCTGGCCCTCCACCTCCTGCAGGTTTCTCACAATCAGACTGAGCCTGTCTTCCACGTTCATTGTGAATGGGCTAAAAAATTGCTCCGGCTTTGGGACCAAACAAACACATCAAAAGAAAAGAACGCCCTCTACTTGTTAAAATAGTTCCGTTTTCTCTTGGCATTCTTGGCCTTGTACTCTTCCTTCCTCTCAACTCGTCGCACTCTTCGCTCCCTGTTCATGGTCTTGATAGCATCCTTCCGTATCTTGTTTATCGCCTTTTCCTCCTCCTTCGACATCTTGGGATTTTTCAGACGAAGTCTTCTGACATAGAGGTCAATTGAGTCTACACTCAGATCGGAGTAGCCCTTCAGCTTAAACTCAGCAGGCCTGCGGGGCTGGTGGCTGGTTTCTAGTTCAGGCACACAGCTGTCTTCAACATGCCCCACCTCATTCGACAGCGAGCTGGTGCTGGCTGTGTCCTCGTTGTCAGAGGTCTGCTCTGCGGCATCTACATCTGTCGGGGGACCCCCCAGACGCATCTGTCTCAGCCCGTCCTCTATCCCTGGCGTCCTTGTAGTTCTCAATAAACAGCCCAACATCCTCCTTATTGGCTACCTCTATGATTCGTGTGGGCACAAAGCACTCTCTATTCAGCCTCCCATCCACCTTCAAATACTCAGGCATCCTCAGCCCAGTGATGTCCTCAAACAGCTCCACCTCATGGTCGACCACCACGCCCTTCTTTTCAAAGAACTCGTTGCAGTTGCATATATCCATCATCAGAAACGTGTTGGAGTTCTCCTGGTAAATGTCCATGCTCTGGCCCACATCAATCACATATACCCTGCTGTTGTGGTAAACCAGATTGTACTCGCTGAAATCTGCATGGACCAGCCTCGCCTTCTGGTACATGTCTCTTATGAGTGCGATGCACTCTCTGTAGACCGTCTCCCACTCTGGGGAAGACAGCGCCACGTCCTTAAGCCTGGGTGCGGGGATGTGTGTCTCCAATCAGGGACATAATGAGGATGCTTCTTTTCAAATAGAGCGGCTCGGGGCAGGGAATATTGGCCCTTCGCAGTCTTTTTAGATTCCGCACCTCCTTTTCCGACCACAGCTTTATCAGTTTTCTGGAATTTGAAGTGCAAAAGTTCTGGAATCTTTTTTCATCAATAATGTATCGTGCTCTGTCCTTGAACAGCATGGCAGACGTTTTGTAGATCTTCAGAGCAACAGGAATGACTCTGCCACAGTCCCCAGTGGCTGCTGTATGGTCTGCAGCTGGCTGTATGAACTTGGAAACAAGCGCTGTCGAGCACTTTGCTGTGTAGACATTGGCCTCCTTTCCCGACGACACGGCTCCAGACAGCTCAAAGAGCTTTTCCCTCCTCACCAGCTTGCTGAGCACTTCAACCGTCCGTCTGTCCAAAACTTTATCTACTGTGGCCGTGCTTGACTTGTCCCTTCTTCGCTTTTCTGGCTTCATGGCTGGCCCATCCTTATATGAAGACTCGAGCGCTGTGCAAGCGTCGCTGCCGATGTTTTCTGGCTCCTCCATGGCTGGATGGGTCGAGCGTATTGTAAAAATTTCCCAGCAACTAATTTTTATGCAAGAAAATAAACAGTAAAGACGTCACTGCAATCAATTTATAGACTATGCTGGCACTGTTCAGGCTCGAGCTGCTCATCCCGACGCTCTGTCCTGTCGGATCCGCATCGCCAGCTCATCGACAATATTCTTCAGGCTCATATTCTCAATCTTTAGTCTTTGGACCTCTCCTGTCAAATCACTGGGCGCCTGGTAGCTCTTTATTCTGTCCAAGATCTCCATGCCCTGTTTGGCATGCGTCTGCACATACTCGTGGTCAATGTCCTGGGCATTCTTGGCGTGGAGCTCCAACTGCAAGCCCAAGTCCCTGATTATGTTTTCCTTTGATACTATCGCCTGCCTGTAGTTTTCAGCCTGGCTGCTGAGCGTCTTAATCTTGTTCTCCAGATTCTGAATAATCTCCTGTGCCACATCAAACGCACTGGACGACGGCCCACTGTCTGCATGCTGTGTCGTGTTGTCGA